CAGATACATGATTTGCTAATATTTTCTCCATTCTGTGGGTTGTCTTTTCACTTTCTTAAGAATGTCCTTTGATGCACAAAAGTTTTACATATTTATGAAATCAAATTTATCTACTTTTTCTTTTGTTGCTTGTAATTCTGGTGTCATATCTAAGAATCCATCGCCAAATCCATCCAAGGTCACAAAGATTTACCTCTAGGTTTTCTCCAAGCGTTTTATAATTTTAGCTGTTACATTTAGGTCTTTGATCCATTTTTTAGTTACTTTTTGTATACTGTGTGAGATAAGGATCCAACTTCATTCTTTTGCATGTGGCTATCCAGTTGTCCCAGTACCATTTGTGAAAACTATTCTTTCTCCATTGAATAGTCTTGGCATACTTTTGGAAAATCAGTTGACCATAGATATATGGGTTTCTTTCTGGACTCTCAATTCTATCCCATTAATCAATATGTCTGTCCTTATGTCAGTAATACTGTCTTGATTACTGTTGCTTTGTGTTAAGTATCAGGAAGTGTGAGTCTTCCTATTTTGTTCTTCTTTCTTGAGATTGTTTTCAGCTCTTCTGAGTCTCTTGCAATTCCATGTGAATTTTAAAACTAGCTTGTCATTTCTAAAAGGAAGGCAGCTGGGATTCTGATAAGGATTGAATTGAATCTGTAGATCAACTTGGGGAGTACTGCCATCTTAACAAGGAGCCATGGTGGTGCAGTGATTAAACTGCTTGGTTAAAGCTTGGCAGTTCGAACCCACCAGCCGCTCCAAGGAGAAAGATGTGGCAGTCTGCTTCTTATAAAGATTACAGCCTTGGAAACCCTATGGGACAGTTCTACTCTGTCCTATAGGGTCGTTATGAGTCGGAATCAACTTGACAGCATGAGGGTTTTTTTTGGCCATCTTAACAATGTTGTCTTCCAATCTATGAACATGGAATGTTTTCCCACTTATTTAGATCTTCCTTTCTTTCAACATTTTAGTTTTCAGAGTAGAAGTTTTGTTCTTTTTTTGTTAATTGCTACATATTTTATTCTTTTTGATGCTACTATAAATGGAATCATTTTCTTAATTTCATTTTTTTGATTGTTCATTACAAGTGTATAGAAATACAATTGATTTTTGTATATTGACTTGTATCCTGCAACCTTGCTGAACTTGTTTACTAGTTCCTGAAGTTTTTCAGTGGGTTTCTTAGGATTTTCCATATACAAGATGATGACATCTGCAAACAGACATAATTTTAATTCTTCCTGGCCAACCTTGATGCCAATCTTGATGTCTAACTGCCCTGACCAAAAGCTCCAGTACAATGTTGAATAAAAGTGACAGAGTGGACATCCCCGTCTAATTCCTTATCCTAGAGGAAAAGTAACCGGTCTTTCATCATCACAGATCCCCTTTATCAGGCTGAGGAAGTTCCCTTCTATTCCTAGTTTGTTAAGTGTTTTTATGACAAACTGGTGTTGAATTTTGCCACGTCTTTTCTTCTGTGTCTACTGAGATCATGTAAATTTTTTAAAATTATATTAATATGTTTAATTACATTAATTGATTTGGGGATGTTAAACCAACCTTGCATTCCTGGGATAAATTCCACTTGTTTATGGTGAATAATTCTTTTTATATGTTGCTGGATTTGGTTTGCTAGTATTTTGTTGGGGATTTTTGTGTCCATATTTACAACAGATATTGGTCTGTAATTTTTTTGTGACGTCTTTGTCTGGTTTAGGGTAATGTTTTATTGTTTGATGCCATCAATTCCAACTCATAGTGACCCATGTGACAGTAGAACTGCCCCATAGGGTTTTCTTGGCTGTAATCTTTAAAGTAGACTGCCAGGTCTTTCTCCTGCAGAGTCACTGGGTGGATTCAAGCCGCCAACCTTTAGGTTAGAAGCTGAGCACTTAACTGTGACACCGCCAGGGCTGCTTATCAGGGTGGAAAGTGTTCCTTCCTCTTCTATTTTTTGGAAGAGTTTTTGAAAACTGGTACTAATTCTTCTTTACATGTTTGGTAGAATTCAGCAGTGAACCACCTGAGCCTCAAGTTTTTCTTTCAGAGTAGGTTTTTTTAGTATTAATTCAATGTCTCTTTACAGGTTTATTCATGTTGTCTATTTCTTCTTGAGTCAGTTTTGGTGGTTTGTGTCTAAGAATTTGTCCGTTTCATCCAAGTTATCTAATTTGTTGTATACAATTGTTCATGCTATTCCTTTATAATCTTGTTTATTTCTGCAAGGTAGGTAGTAATTTCCCTCTTTCATTTCTGATTCTAGATCAATCTAGCTAAAGTTTTGTCAATTTTGTTATTTTCAAAGAACCAGCTTTTGGCTTCATTAACTTTGTATTCTCTATTTCGTTAATTTCCACTCTTTAATTCTTACTATTTCCTTCCTTCTACTTGCTCTTCTTTTTCCAGTGTCTTAATGTGGAAGGTTAGGTTATTGATTTTGACCTGTCTTATTCCTAGGTTCTCTCCTGCAAACTACCTAACCTATAGATTAGGCTATGTCTTCTTCAAATTTGCAAATCTCCTCCCAGTTGCCTTCCACCACAACCTCCAACTGTTTACTTTTTTTTTAATTTTTACTCAAACATCATTTTTACTTGAAAGAACAACAAACGATGGTTATTCAGACAAAGTTAGCCTGTCACTTCAAAGAAAACAACTAACAGTATTTGTTGCCAATGATAAAATTTGAGCTTTCAAGTGAATTTAGAATTTTGGAAAACTTGTATCCACCACCATGAACATGACAGCTTCCCGATACATTTCTGAAGAGACAGATGGTAATATTAACAAATACGTTTATTTTTTTAAATAATATTTTATTGTGTTTTCAGTGAAGGTTTACACAGCAGCTTAGGTTCCTATTCAATAATTTCTACACAAGTTGTTCTGTGACATTGGTTACATTCTTCACAAGCATGAACATCCTCATTATGTCTGTTCTGGTTGTTCTGTTTCCATTAATCTAGTTTCCCTGCCCTCCTACATTCTCATCTTTGTTTTAAAGTAATTGTTGACCATTTGGTCACATATAGGTGATTTTTTAAAGCAGCGCAGTACTTACGGGTGATATTCATTATTTTTTGAGCCCATTTGTTATTTAGCTACATACAAGGTGACCTGAAGGGTTACTTTCAGTTCAAGATTTGAAAAGTATCTCAGGGCACAGTCTCGGGGAGTCCTCAGTCTCAACCAGTCCAGTAGGTCTGGCTTTTTTTTTTTTTTTTATTTAGGAATTTGAGGTTTTGTTTCACATTTTTCTGCCATGCTATCAGGGTCCATTTATCGTGGCCCTGAGCTCCAACTGTTAAGAGCACCTTTAGCCATGAACTTCTCCAAGCTCTGTTGTAAATGAAGTCAATTTCTTTGGGAAGAGATCAGGAACTATCTGTTTTATGGCCTGTTTCTTCCCCCAGGTAAAATCTCTGAGCCAGGGCTCTGGAGCTGTGGGTAGGGGCAATGGCAAGCTTCTCTCTGAGTGACACCCCTGATCTAGGAGCTGAGCACTTGGGGGTTGGAGGGCAGTAGCCTGAGGTCTTCTTGGTTTGCCTCTCCTGGTATGGAACTACAGCCTCACAAGCCAGGGCACAAAAGCAGTTGGCACCCCAGTGTTCTCAGCTCACCACATCCAAGGTCGAGTATCCATCCATGAGTAGGTGCTGGACAGAAGACGGGAGCCCTCACCTCTTGACCACCCCATCCCACAGGTAACAGGTAGCTGGGGGCAAGGGAGAAACACTGAAGTCCTGCTCCTCCTGAGAAGAAAGTCTGCTGGCTGGAAGCTGGGAGGAGAAGGAGCCTTGTGTTCTTGATTGCAATAGTGTGGACTGGAGTTTCCACCTCCCTGAGCTGAGAACAGTGAGGGAGGGGGAGATCTTGATTCAAATACCACAGACTCATCTTTTTACCAATTTTCATTGATTTTCTTGGGTAGATGTTTCCTCATTTGCTGTTTTCCCTTAGGACCATTTCAAGAAGTTTTCAATGGTGGTGGTTGTTGTTTTTATAATTTTCACCAGTTTCAGCGGGAGCAGGTCAGTGGAACTCCTCATGCTGTCATGCCATTATGTGACCCTGTGTAAGGCTGATTCTGCACTATAATGGGAGAGCTGAAGAATTGAGTAGTGGCAACAAGACTCTATATCGCCTGCAAAGCCAGTAATATTTACTATCTGGCCCGATATAGAAAAAGTTTGCCAACTGGTAACTGAGGTCTCTGCTGCTGATGCTGCTGATCCAGACATCACACTTCGAGTAGCAAGGATTTAAATTACTTAAGAGGTAGTACTGAGTGGGGTAAGAGCTTGGTTCAAAACCTCACTTTGCCATTTACTAGATATACACTTTTTGGGGAAGAGAATGATAATAATAATAATGGTATCTAACTCACTGGGCTATTGTGAGAATTAAATGTGAGAATCTCTGGCACTTATTAAGTATTCAACAAATGACAGCTATCACCAAGCTGGAATCTGTATGGAAAGTAAGTATAAGACAGCATGTCTTTCCTCAAAGAGCCTTTTCCAGAAAAATTTAAGCTTTGGAAACAGGAAACAAGTATAAACTTTCAATAAACAAGATGCTACTTTTAATACCTGGGCTGCATAACAATATTACCTCATAAAGTTAAAAACTCCACCCAGCCATAGCTTAAACCTGACACTGAAAACAAGAATTCTCTACCATGGATGCGCCCAACCTCTTCCAATAACAATGAATGAAAACCTTCAGAAAGTGCTTCCAAACCCAAAAGCCCTATAAAGAAAACCAGCAATCATCTTTAACATGAGGATTTGGGCCTAGACGGCCCCTTCCATTTCTAACCGTTTCTTATCTATAACCAGATGATATAAGCAGAATCCCTCAAGCTTCCACTTCGACTGGCTCCACGGAGGGGGCGCCCGGGTCAGTGTTGGACCCGCGACAGGGCCGGGCGAACAGGGATTCGGCCGGGCTGCCCCTCGCCGCGGCCCGTCGAGGTTGCCCGCGGTTACCTCGCAGTTGAACTCCATCTCAGCGTCCATAGTGACGATCCGCACGGTGAACGTCTTGGGCTGCTTCCTCTTGAGCGAGCTGAAGCTCATGCGGGAAGCGATGGCCCCGGCCATAGTGCTGGGCTCGGGCCCGGGACCTCTGTGCCACCGCGGCCTGCGCTCTGGACCGGTTAACCCCCCTGGAGGAGCCGCACAGGCCTCAAGTCCACCATGGTGGCCGGCCGGCCGGTCCGGGAGCGAGGTGGGCGGTGCGGGCCCCCAACGGCCCGCATGGGCCGCGAGGACCCTGCCCAGGAGCGAAAAGGGGCGTCGGGGGGCGGTCCCTGCCAGCCACTCGGAGGGTACGCGAGCAGGGACCGACGGAGCGCTCGCGGCCTGGCACTCAGGGAGTCGGGCAGAGGACGCCAGGGAACAGGGCCCCTAGACGGCAGCGGCCTAGACCTCGCCCGCCACTCAGCGGCCGAGGAGGGTCGCGGGGACGCGCTACAGCGGCCGCGCACGCGTGCGCTTCCCTGTCACCGTTCCCGCTCCGCGCGCCCCCGGCAAACACTCCTCTCCCCGCTGCCCCCGGCCGGCTCCCCGCCCCGCCCCTAGGCCCCTCAAACCACTACACACGGCGCAACCGAACCCGGCGGCTGCCTCCCAGAAGCCGCGGTTGGCTGACAACTCCAGCGAAGGCGGGGCTTTCCTGCTCCGTCCCGCCTCCTTCAGATAAGGTCCACCAATTGAAAGTTCCACTCTATCTGTAGGCGGGGGCCTGGGCTCCGCGCTGAGTAGCTATAACCGCAGTCACTCCCAATGCTTTTGTTCGTAGGTGTAAGCCTACTCTAGCAGGACTGGTTGAAGCGACGCAGCCTGACGCGCCTTATTCCAGGAATCCATGTCCGGGGAGATCTTCCAGTGCGGGAGTCGGGGCACTCTCTGGTACAGCGAGGATCTGCCCTTTGGACGGAGCTCGCGCCGAGTGTGGAGCCTCAGAAAGCGTGTTTCAGACCCCTGGCAGATATTCTTTTTGGCTCTCAATTAATTACATATAATGACCTCTATGTTTCCCAGACTTTCTAAAACACTTGTGAAGGCCTGTTTGATTGCTGACACTTTACCGCCAGATTCCTCTGGTTTGCTTTACAAGAGATACTAATGACTATCAAAGAAGGGTTATAATTAATTGTACCTACCTCGTGGGGTTGTTTAGGAGTTTAAGCAAGTTAACACATAATAAAGCTTTAGAACAGTGGCCGGCACATACTACGTTGGATCCTATGAAATTGTTTTGGTGGATCAAAAATGGTCCAAAATTGACAGCATTGTTCGTTTTGTAATTTATGTATGATTTTCATTTTTAACCATACACGCGTCTTATCTATGTTTTAATGTTATCAAGGGTTATGTCGGGGGGAAATTGCTAAAAACGAAATCACTCTCAATCCAGAAAACCTCTCCACAAAGATAGAACAGAAAAGTTTGATTATTGCGTAAGCATTAAACGAGAATATGATGCGTCACAGGCAATCCGCTACAGAGATTGCAAGGACAGAAAGAAATCTTACACTTTATATAAAACAAAACAAAAACCTGTTCCTGTCCAGTCGATTCCGACTCATAGCGACCCTATAGGACACAGTAAAACTGCCCCACCGGGTTTCCAAGGAGTAGCTGGTGGATTCCAACTGCCAAACTTTTGGTTAGTAGCCAACGTCTTAACCACTGCTGCCACCAAGTCTTCTATCTTTTACATAGCAGAGTGGACAGGACTCATTACATTAATGTTTAAGATAAAATTGCTAATTTTCCAGTATCTTTATCGCAGGAGACCTAAAATTATGCTCATCTCCTTGGAAACTGGGAGGTATGGGTGTGAGCTCTTTTTTTTTGTTGTTGAGAATATACACAGCAAAACATACACCAATCCAAGAGTTTCTACATGTACAATTTAGCGATGTTAATTACATTCTAGTTGTGCGATCATTCTCACCCTCCTTTTCTGAGTTGTTCCTCACTCATTAATATAAACCCACTGCCCACTAAGGTTCCTATCTAATCTTTCAAGTTGCTGTTGTCAACTTGATCCCATATAGATACTTCTTAAAAGAGCATAATACTCAAGACAGACCTTTTATACTAGTTAAGCTAAACTATTGTTTTAAGATGCCTTCAGGGGATATTTTTGGTTTAAGATTTAAGGTGTGAGCTGTCTTGATGATTACATTTCAGAAGAAATGGCACTGAGATCCTTGAGGAAACATCCTTGACTTACATACTTTTCAGAAAGACAAAGAAAGGTTCTACCATTAGAAATTATTTAAAGTGAATTCTGAAAGAACAGGGGAGGAGGGGAGCCTCTTTCCTTATTTTCAACGGGGAGAATTAAGACCTATTATTTTCAATTTGTATTTTTCCTTACAGTTATAATGGATATGTGTAGTAGGGGTGAATTATACCTTTCTGTATGGAAAAATATAGGATCACTATGGGTTGGAATCAACTCAGTGGCAATGGGTTTGGTTTGGGGTTTTTTTTGGTATTTAAAAAGGGGTCCTCAGCTAAGATACATCTATTGGTCCCATCCCACCTGGAGCAAAGGAGAATGAAGAAAACCAAAGGCACAAGGAAAATATTATCCCAGAGGACTAAAGGATCATATGAACCAGAGACTCCACCAGCCTGAGACCAGAAGAACTAGATGGTGTCTTACTGGTCTGACAGAGACTGGAGGAACCCCTGAACTATGGCCCCTGGAAGCCCACTTTTCAGACTAAGATTACACAGGCCTATTAAAAAAAAAAAAAAAAAAAAACACGTGAGGAAAGTCCTTCTTAGTTCAATCACGTATACAAGACCAAATGGGCAGCTCCTGTTCAAAAGCAGGATGAGGAGGCAGGAAGGGACAGGAACTGAATGAATGGACACAGGGAACCCAGGGTGGAAAAGGGGAGCATGCTGTCACATTGTGGGGATTGCAACCAATGTCACAATATGTGTATAAACTTTTTAATGAAAAATTAACTTGAGCTGTAAACTTTCACCTAAAGCACAATCAATCAATCAATAAAGGGGGCCCTAGGGGTGCAGTGGTTAAGAGCTCAGCTGCTAACCAAAAGGCCAGCAGTTTGAATCTACCAGCTGCTCCTTGGAAATCCCAGGGGGCAGGTCTACTCCATCCTATAGAGCTGCAATGAGTCAGAAATGACTCGAGGGCAACAGGTTTGGTTTAGCCTTAGCATTTAAAAAAGTAATAAATTTTATTTTTTTATTATTGTAAATTTTAAGATAATTTCTAATTGTCAAAATTGAGTTTATTTTAAAATAATTTTAATTGTCAAATCGTTGTTGTAGTTAGGTGCTGGAGCATTGATTCCAACTCATAGTGACCCTATGTGACAGAGTAGAACTGCTCGATAGGGTTTGTTTTTTTTTCTTCCATTTTTTTAAAATTGTATTTTAGATGAGGGTTTACAGAGGAAATTAGTTTCTCATTAAACAATTAATACACATATTATTTTGTGACATTGGTTGCCACCCCCACAACATGTCAACCCTCTCCCCTTCTCAACCTTGGGTTCCTCATTATCAGCTTTCCTGTCCCCTCCTGCCTTCTCATCCTTGCCCCTGGGCTGGTGTGCCCATTTAGTCTCGTTTTGTTTTATAGGCTTGTCTAATCTTTGGCTGATGGGTGAACCTTAGGAGTGACCTCAGTACTGAGTTAAAAGGGTGGCCATATTCTGGGGTTTCTCCAGTCTCTGTCAGACCAGTAAGTCTGGTCTTGTGTGTTTGTGTGTGTGTGTGTGTGTGTGTGTGTGAGAGAGAGAGAGAGAGAGTTCGTGTATGTGTGTGAGAGAGTTAGAATTTTGTTCTACATTTTTCTCCACCTCTGTCCAGGACCCTCTGTTGTGATCCCTGTCAGAGCAGTCAGTGGTGGTAGCCAGGCACCATCTAGTTGTGCTGGACTCAGTTGCCCCATAGGGTTTTCATGGCCAAGTCTTTCTCCTGTGGAGCTGCTGGATGGGTTTGAACCACCAACTTTTGGGATAGCAGCCAAGGACTTTTGTGCCACAAAAAAAAAGAAAAAAACCTTTGCTGTAGAGTCAATTCTGACTCATAGTGATCCTATAGGACAGAGTAGAACTGCCCCACAGGATTTCCAAGGAGCAACTGGTGGATTCAAACTTTGAACCTTTTGGTTAGCAGCCGAGCTCTTAACCACTGCAGCACCAGGGCTCCTTAATTGTCCAACAGAGATGATTTAACCACACAGAAGTGTTAACCATCATTAGCATCATCCCCACTTTACAGATGAAGAAGATGAGACTTTCAGCATGATAGAGTCACTTGCTGACCCAGACGTTGTTGTTGTTGTTGTTAATATGCCTTCGAGTGGGTTTCAACTCATAGCAACCCAATGTACAACAGAATGAAGCACTGCCCAGTCTTGTGCCATCTTCACAATCGTTGCAGCCATTGTGTCAGTCCATCTCGTTGAGGCTCTTCCTCTTTTTCACTGACCCTCTACTTTACCAAGCATGATGTCCTTCTCCAGGGACGGGTCCCTCCTGATAACATGTCCAAAGTATGTGAGACCAAGTTTCACCATCCTCGCTTCTAAGGAGCATTCTAGTTGTATGTCTTCCAAGACAGATTTGTTCGTTCTTCTGGCGGGCCACAGTATATTTAATACTCTATTCCAACGCCATAATTCAAACGCATCAATTCTTTGGTCTTCCTTGTTCATTGTCCAGCTTTCACATGCGCATGAGACAATTGAAAAGACCATGGCTTGGGTCAGGCGCATCTTAGTCCTCAAAGTGACATCTTTGTTTTTTAACACTTGAAAGAGATCTTTTGCAGCGGTTTTGCCCAATGCAATACAGCGTTTGATATCTTGACTGCTGCTTCCATGGGCATTGACTGTGGATCCAAGCAAAACTCAATCCTTGACAACTTCAATCTTTTCTTCATTTATCATGATGTTACTTATTGGTCCAGTTGTGAGGATTTTTGTTTTCTTTATGTTGAGGTGTAACCCATATTAAAGGCTGTTGTCTTTGATCTTCATCAGTAAGCGCTTCAAGTCTTCTTCACTTTCAGCAAGCAAGATTGTGTCATCTGCGTAATAGTGAACAGCAAAGCTGGGATTCAAACCCAGGTCTAGCCCATACAGAGCCTGCCTGCGCTGCCCTGCTTCCCAGCTTGTGGCTTCTAAATTGCTCCTTGTTGTGCCTTGAAGAAGGAAACATGAACTACAGTTCTGGAGCACTCAACAGACATGATGCTGTAACTATACTAATAGCATAAATCTAACTCTTCCCTGCAAGTCAGGCCCCAGGAATCATCTGCTGGCACACCCAGTGAGGATGCGATGAGGGAACTTTATGTCCTGTATACTGCCTGCAAATTGTCCCCACCAGACTGATTGTTCAGAGCAGTAAGAGTGTCTTCATTTTCATTGCTTTCAGTTCCCTGCAGGTGGAAGAGCCAGGCTGGATTCTCCTGTAGACTCTCCACTGGGACAACAAATCAGGGATTTAATCCAGGGACAAGTCT